TTTTAAAGTCATCATCACTAGGGTTCGATTGTTGTGTTGAAAGCGAATTTCGCATCAAGAGGATGTATTTAGTTACCGTGTCGCTTTTCATTCCTTTCGTAGAAGAAAGAGCTGGCGAAGTTACAAGTACAGTAGCAGGTCAAAAGTTTGGAAACTTTTTTATTTTTGATCTAGCGTAGCCGATAGACAATGAAATTGCCCCGAATTCACATATTATATTCAGAATCAAGTGTAGATTACGATGGGTAACATGATTTTTTGAAAACTGAAAATCGCATTTGAAAAATACGAATTTTTATAAGAAATGGCGCGTCAAAAGTTTGGAAACTTCCGAATTCCAAAGCGAATTCGGCAAAAAAGCGCTCTCAAATTCACATGATAAATTAGTTGTTCGATGAGTAGCTTCAAATTTCTATATTAGCGTCGTTTTTATTGACATGGTATTGATTATAAAATAATTTTAGGATTTCTAAGTCGGACCTCATACACTGTGATCTAAATCACAAACACAATCAGTCCTCTGGGGGAGCACCATTGTTTGGTGGGATTCTTAACTGGAACGTGGGTAGAGCGACATGCCACTTTTTCCGTGAGATGTAGAACTCAATTAGACTTTTAGATCTTGACTTGGTCGCTTCATAGCAGCTCCTTTTTCTGGGTTTAGGAAGGCGGCAGTGGGGAGGTAGGCCTGCATCGGGTCATTTCCGTAATAGAAAACCCATCTTTTCCGGCTAGTTCTGACTATCGAAGGTAAGCATTGTATTCTACAGACTATACTTGTACTTAGCCCAACCCACATTTCGCTGGATACCTAGAACTGGGAATCGCCGAATGGTCGGACACATCTTCATCCATGACAATACTTCCACTATTTCTGACTGTTGGAATCTCATACTCAAAATGAGGTTCCCATTTGACAAAACACTTCACAGGGTCCACTATATTATTTCTAGGAAAGATAGAATCTCATTCGTCGCTGAGGACAAAGTTTCACCTCTTGGCTCCGGTTCATGTTAGCCGTTAGAGTGCGGAAGCCAGTTGGGCCATCCTGCCCTTGAAGCCCAACAACGGCTTCTTGTTGGGACATCATCCGTAATATTCCACCAGGTCGCAGGACCGATGTTAGTGCACTTGGACTTTCATATGATTAGGAAAAAACAGAAAAAGTTGTCTCTTAGTTGGGAATGTTGGGGGCACGGGACGTGCCAACCACCTTTCGAAGTATTTGAAGAGGACCAACTTTCTTGTGAAGATACTTTTTTGTGAATGATCATTCTTCTTATGCTTACTCGACTCTAATAACGCTAGAAACATCCGATAATATTGCTTCCGTAGAGACTGAACTACTAAGAATCAGTTTCAATTTCGTATTCCGGATTGTAGGGTTTAAAAAAGGACCCCATGGAAAAACTGCTTTCTTTGCATATGAATTCATTTTGAAATTACACATTGCTCAATGGTTAACTAAAAAACAGAAACAAGTGAACATTGAAGAGTAGGAATCATAATGATAAGGGAAACAAAAAGTTTCCAAACTTTTGACGCGCCATTACGAAAAAAATCTTATTTCTCAAATATGATTATAGGTTTTTGGAAATTGTTCTTCCCGTCGTATTCTGAACTCGATTTTGTATGGAATATCTAAATTTGGGACAATTTCGTTGTGTATCGGCCGCGCTAGATCAAAAATAAAAAAGTTTCCAAACTTTTGACCGCTACTGTATGTCGCTACACGAACCACTAGCTTGTCTGCCACGCTCCCTGAGCGCTGCGACTGGTCTACTTGATGACTTGGACGAGTTGTGTTGCCCGCACAGGCACCCACCGTTATCAACTCGATGGACGCATGGAGCTTGGGCATGGACTCGCGAACAGCACGCCACGCTTGTCGCCGTCTTGAGCCAAAGATCGTGGGGAACCGGACTTTTTCTGGTTTTTTTTTTTCGTCATTGGCACCCTTTCGTACCCTTAATCACCCCGTGTCCAATTTGAACTCCTTTAGACAATCGTAATCGCTGCTTTTAACTAGTCAAAAATCAATCATCGAGCGCTATTACCCCAATATCTCCTTCCCGGGGTGTGCCTCTAGGACCATGTTTAAAAAGAGAGAGTGATGTCAAAACTATTGTACTTCATAAATTCATTACTTTTCCTACAAACAACCTCATTCAAAATGCTTGAGATTCTAGCAAAAATCTAACAAATAACACTATCGAAACCTATAATCAAAAAAAACCCTACATACATATAGCGCTACTTTCCGTACCGATAATCTTCATTCTTTTCAACTTTATCCAGTGAAACCGGGAACGTTTTCCCTGCTCTTCAGTGCTTCCACAATTTCTTGAGCTTTGTCCACATATTTCTTCGCCTCGTCCACATTTTTTTCCACGCCGTCTCCTAGCTTATACATCCTGCAATCACTCATCCTTGTTCAAATTACATATAATCGGTTCTCAAAATAAATAATGTTTTCATAATTTTTACATATTCTCGTATCGATTTTTCGAAAACACATTCCACGATCGAATTAGTGGATTATCGCCGGGAAATAAAAATAGAAGCGCAAACAGAACTGATCCGGAAGAAAAAAATGAAAATAAACCACTGAAAAACTGGAAATATGGGCCTTATTTTTCTATTCCGTGGAGAAGTAGGAGCACTAGAAAGCGAAATAAGAGAAAGTGGGCAAGGGGGCGAGTTAAAAGACTCAAATAAGAGGTGTATGAATTCGGACGATTAGGCTTCCCCATGACGTTAATTTAGCGTGTCCTTTGCGCCGTGTGGAGTTCCATAAGCATTATTAAGGTCTTAACGCCACTGTCTGGTAATTTCGTGTGACGAATTGCTACATATACCAGATGGCTACAACATGTTTCTTTTAGATCGCCGCGCTATCTCTGGACAATTTTGCGACTTTATATTTTAGCCCCTTTCACCGAGTTGCATACCCCGCTCACCAATAGCAATCGACCCCCTTTCCTACACCAAGCATTGTCCGCTTTTTCCTCGCTCTCTGGACTATATCTCAACCAATTAATAACTTTCGTAACGAACACCACCCGCTTTGGTGCATTTCCAGCTTGGGTGCATACTCCGCCCACTAA